GCAAGAAAACAACCCAGGTCAGAAAACACCAAGAACTCCAAAGAAGGGCCCCCATGATTCTGTGTAAAAACTCTTTGCCTTCCCAGCAGTTATACATGTTTATGTTAGATAATGGTCTAACACAGAGAGTTCCCTGAATTCAAACACTTACCCATTTGTGGATTAAGGGACCAAGAATTGCAGACTCCTGGTTACTCTGTGAGTAAACTGGGTTGGTTAATATTCATATTAAAATAGTTAGCAAAGTTTGGAAGTATCTTCTGTCATGTTTGTTTGTTGGTTTATTAAACCAATTTATATAGCCGCCCATCTCACCACAGGCAACTCTGGGCGGCGTACAACAAAGCTAAGAACAATCAATAAATACATTAAACATATAAAAAGCAAAATAAAACAGAATAAAAGGATGTTAAAAATAAGGGAGCCACCTCAATAATTCCCCTGGTCCCTGGGCTCCCAGGCCTGCTGGCACAACCAGATCTTGAGAGACCTCCAGAAGGTCAACAGTGACGAGGCCAACCTCACCTCAGGGGGGAGAAGATTCCACAGCACAGTGCCACAGCAGAAAAGGCCCACCACCTGGGGCCTGCCAAATGTAGCTCCCTAGGTGACGGAACCCATAATGTGCCCTCTCTGCTGGATCTGGTAGGATAGGCAGATAAAATAGGGGAGAGGTGATCCAGATAGCCCGGCCCCAGCACCTTGAATTGGACCTGGAAACAAACTGGTAACCAGTGCAGCTTGCAAAGCAGAGGTGTAACATGTGTTCTACTAGAAACACATGGAACTGCTCGTGCCGCTGCATTTTGCACCAGCTGAAGTTCCCAGATACTTTTCAAGGGCACCCCCATGTAGAGCGCATTGCAGTAATCTAACCGGGAGGTGACCAGGGCATGAGTGACCGTGAGTAGGTCCCTCTGGTCTAGGAATGGGCTCAACTGGTGCACAATACGAAGTTGTGCAAAGGCCCTCCTAGCCACAGCTGCCGCCACCTCTTTGAGCAGGAGTCATGAGTCCAGGAGGACCCCCAGATTGCGCACAGGGTCTTTTTGATGTTAGTGCTGGTTCCGTATTTTCTTCAACTGTGATATGTTTAGTCTACTTGAAAACCTTCTTAAAGCTCTTACTGGCCACATTGTGGGTTTTGGGATTGTATTTGCCGTCTTTTGAAAGTTCCAAGGTAGGATTGCAGATACTTTTATAAAACTGAAGTCAGCTCTGTTAACTACATTCTGTTTGGGCATGTCAATGACCATTACAGACAACTGGGTTTTTCACTGTGACTCATGTGCGGCTGTGTAGTACTCTCCCCAGAAACCTCTAGAGCAGGGGTTCCTAAACTTTTTGCCACCACACCTCCCTGTGGTGTAATCTTAAAGTACACACCTCCCCTAAAAACCCAAACACCAAATGAACACACATGAACAATGAAAACAATGCAATAAAACTTTGGGAAAGGAGGATATATTGGAACAAATATCACCTAGCCCAAATATCACCCATCACTTTGGGCCAGTCAGTGTTCTTAATGCCCACTCAGAAAGTGTCAAACCCTATTGCATGTTTCCATACCAATGGGAAAGGTTCTTCACACCTCCCCTGGACGCTGTCTGTACCTCCCCAAGGGAGGTGCACCTCACAGTTTGAGAAACCCTGCTCTAGAGATTGAAGAGAGCATTTTTGTGGGCTCCCAGCCCCGTGGTATAGATATCTGCCATGGCGTTCTTAATATTCTTTTCTTTGTCTGCCACAACAATTCTTTCAGATTTATTTTGAGAATTTCTCATTTCTAGTGACTTTCCCACATGCAACACTTAATTCATTTTTTGAAGAAACCTGTACCGAAACAGCAAGCTGCTGTGGTCTAACACCTCATGCCTGATCTGTGCCCTGATGGAGAATCTTTCCCGTTATCAGTTCCTCACCATATAAGCCAGAAAAAAGGAAACCATCTTGCCATTGGGCATTGCTGCAGAAGGAGTCTGACTTGGTGATTCCATAGACACAAACTTCTTTCCAACTCCCTTGGTCATCTCTCTGGACCTTCTTTCTTGTTGCTTCTATCATTATCTCACAAAACAGCAAAAACCTACAAAAACCTAAAGCAAACTTGGGTGCAGTAATTGCCCACCAAGAATCTAACTTACTGGACAGTTTCTCATACTCCAGGACAGTCAATCCAGTAGAAATTCTGCAGGCTTTCAAAAGGCAAAAAAAAAGAATAAATTCCACAGCTCTGAGTAATCTTTAAGTCCCTGGCTCCTTCTGAGCCAACTTGAAGAGCTGAAATAGTCTGTCCATTCAGGAAAGAACATGAATACTGCAGCTTACATCCCTGCTTCACTGCTATTTTTACCCTCTTCCATTTATCAAGAGGCCATTCAACCCTAAAGGGGACCATTTTCCCTCCTGAGATCACTTATTTTTAGGCTCTATCTCTGAGGGTCAGATCAGAGACAGATTGCTTTCTCCCCGCTCATCGCCATCTCTGCTGATTTCATCAAGTATCAGGAATGGCTTGCTTTGCCCCAGACTGTCAGTACCATCTCTGTCCATTCCCAGTACAGATGCCCATTTTCAGTGTCAAGACCTTGCCCTTCTCTGACTCTGTCGTGAGATATTTTGTGAGATAATAGGGAAGATGTTTTGTGGATCAGTGGAAATTTCATCCATACCTCATGTTTTCCTTGCATTTTATTGTGATGCTTACTCTTACCCTCACCACTCACAAAATAGTCTTCAAGTTTGGTCCTTAATCCCAGCCCCCTGGACATTCCTCTCTTATCAGTTAAGTGAATAATCTCTTTGTCAATTGACATTGAGGTCTTAACCAACTAGAGTGGGGGGGGGATGCAAGTTTAATAAATAACACCAACAACAACAATGGATTCTAAAAGTAAAAGCTATCTAGTTGCTATTTTCTTCAATATATTTTGTTAAAAGAAGCTCAGGGAGAATCTTGTATTCTGTTGAAGCAGGCTGTGATGAGCTTGAAAGCTGCCTGAATGACCCCCCCCCCCCCCCCCCCGTCTCTCTAAACTCATACAACTCACCTTTCTCTCCATTCAGATAGTTATTTTTGATTCTAGCGATTTGGTCCAGATATGAATTCCATGGAAATGGGCCCCAAAACTCTCTTGTAAGCTCATAGGTTTCCAAGGAGGGTAAAAACTTATGCGGGTCTTCAGATGATAACTCAAGGAAACATATAACTAGTTATTCTATGGAACTAATCTGTTAGTAGATTTGTTGCTGCCCCAGTGTCTTTGTTGAGATAGAGGGGCATTAGAATATTGTAATTTGCTCTTGCCACCTGCAAAGAAGGCTGAAGCCAAGAAGAATTCTTAATAGTCTTTTCTCTTACTGGCTTTGAAGACTTGTTTGCTGTGAGTGAGTGGATAGATACTGTAGATGGATAATTCCTTCAATAACAATATTAAATAAATAGATAAATAAATGGTGGGAAAAGAAGAACATTGGAGCCAGGGAAGCAAAACACAGAAACAGTTGATTATGGAATCAGTTCTTGTTCATGTCAAACTCTCCTTGTAGTAAGGACTTCTTGGCTGCCAGAAGGCAAAGACCGTTGAATCCAGATGAGCTTTACTTGGGAAGAGTTCCACCACTTGAGTGCCATAGTTGTAAAGGCCCTATTCCATGTGCTTCCTCAGTACCCCTCTAAAAATGTTTCTGAAGATCTGATTTTGAAGCCCATCGCTGGTGATGGGACAGCCTCTTTGACCGTTACTATTCCCCACCTTTCCAATTTGTCTTTAAAAATGTGCAGGGTTTTTAAAAAGAAACGTTTGACATGTCTGAAAACTAGCCCGCAGGTGTCTTGCTTTGGAAGGATAACTTGTCAGTGTCCACCTTGAAGCCTTGTCAGGGTGGAAGGGGCTTTTCTTCCAAATTGGTGGAGCCATTTTGGTCAAGCGTCCCGAACAACCGACAGCGCTCTGTTGCTCAGGAGGGTTTCCAAATGACCGTTCTGGAAAGAGGAGAAGGGGGAGATAGAAAAGCCTGCTTTTGAAATCTTTGAGCTCACCATTCACCAAGTCTAATCCTTTATCTGCTTTTCGTTGAAATGGATTAAGTTAATGGAGTTTGTTATTTTTGACTGAATTGGAGCTCCAGATTTTTGTTTTCAGATTCCTATGAATTTATTTGTGCCTTTATCAATTCTGTTCTTATGTACTTTTCTCGTACCTTAGAACTTTTTAATGCAGAGAAAGCTTTCAGCAGAAAAAAGCACTAACATTATGGTAATAATTTTTTCTATGTTCCTTCTTTTTCTCCTCCTCGGTAGCAGTAAAATTTACAACCTAATGTGCTTCTTTATTTTGCAGAAATAGCCAAATGCTGTTTTCAGCAGCATTTTTCATACCAGGCACGAATCTTTAAGTCAAGCTTACAGCTTCTCAGCACTGTGGGTAGATACTTTATTGGTTTTATTGTTGCTTATTTTGTCTTTCAGTTCAACTTTGTGGGGAAACTTTTGGGCCCACGTGGCAATTCTCTGAAGCGCTTGCAAGAAGAGACATTGACAAAAATGTCAATATTGGGAAAAGGATCCATGAGGGACAAAGCAAAGGTAAAATTGCTAGCTGAGGATCATTAGTGTGCGCTGTACTGCTGTGTGTGTCTTTCTTTACCAATCCTAGTGTAGCCTGGGGAGAATTAAAGCAAACACAATTCAAGGTGCATGTAATGACCTCTCTCCATTTGCATTCTGCATGCATTTTGCTCTTCCCACCATGTATTCCTTGCTTCGGAGAAAATCCAGTTTTTGTACGTCCTCTGTGGACAGTTATGGAACGTACTGGTGACTGCCCAAGCCAGCCTCCAACTTCTTCCTTGTTAATGCCTAGCCATATGCAAAATCCATACCACTGTGTTACAGGCATTTGAATCCTTATGTCACTTCAGTGGCTGCCGTTCCCGTTGGTATGGAAACATGCAACAGGGTTTGACACTTTCTGAGTGGGCATTGCAGAGGAGAAAAGAGGAAGAAAGGGGTGACAATTGGCAAGCATGTCTATCCTCCTTTCTGATTTGGGCTGGTAGAAAGAGAAGAAGCCAGTGTATCTTTGTGAGTTTGTAACATGAAATATATTAAAATACAGAATCAGAATGACCAGAGAGTGTGTTGCTTGAGGAGAGGGAGACCTTCCCAGTAGATGGCAAGTTAGCTTGCTGATTGATTGATTGATTGATTGATTGAATTTCCATGCTGCTGAAGTCAAAATCAACTCTCGTGGTTGAAAACATAGAACACAATACAGTCCAGAGTAAAAGAATACATAGAATAAAACAGTAAATCAGTATTGTAATTTTAAAGCCATGGCACCAAATGCATGGCATTAGTAATAACCATTAGATATCAAATGTCCTATCTCCACAGCAACAACCCTGTGAGGTGAGTTGGGCTGAAGGAGAGTGACTGGCCCAAAGTCACCCAGCCGGCTTTCGTTCCATAGACTTCTGAAGCAGAGCCCTGGTTTAAAGAAACACCACCCTACAATAGGGCTTCTATTATTGGTTCTTCTACTGCATAGAACAGCCTTCCCATCATCATAAATGACAATATAAGGAACAGGGCTGAAAAGACAGCCCTACAGCCTGCATGGGGCAATTCAGTTTTAAAGGAGTGTGTGTCTTGGGGTAAGGCCATTTGCACTTTTGGTAAAAGATAAAAAACGCAATGTATCTTATGTTATTTGTAATCTCCCACCTATTCATTAACACAAATAGCACAGTTGGTCCTTTTAATATATTTAGTAACTGCATGATCAATATAGTAAGCATTCCCCATAGATGACTTGGATTGAGTTGAAACCCAAGAGCACATTGGCTGCCCTACCTTACTTCTCTTTGTTTTAGGTTATATAAAAAAAAAAAAAGGGATGAAAGGCAAGTGATTAAATCCAGCAATTGGTATCCCATGCGAAGGGGGAGGAATGCAATATGCATGACTTAGAGTCACTCTTAGAGTACTTTAAGCGAGTGATTGTTGTTTATGTATAAACCATTTTTCTGCAATCTAATGCCCATCAGGTGGGCTGGATCTCCGTATCTTCAGATGCATTTGGTAGATGCCAACTTATGAATGACTAGTAAAAGGTAACATAAGGAGAAAGGCTTATTTATGTCTTTTTTATAATCCTAATTTGCCTTGGAATATTGTCATTCTTAATTATGTTTATAGACAGAACACTGACCCCATCTGCGTTTGGTTAATTTAACTTTGCTCTATGTCAGATGCATTTGGTAGATGCCAACTTATGAAGGACTAGTAAAAGGTAACATAAGGAGAAAAGCTTATGTCTTTTTTATAATCCTAATTTGCCTTGGAATATTGTCATTCTTAATTATGTTTATAGACCGTCAAATCCTAAGGGAGTCTTGGCAGCATGCAGATTAAATAAACAATATATACACAGCTAAAGTAAAAGATCCACAAGCTGATAAAAAACATAGAGCAAAGTTAAATTAACCAAACGCAGATGGGGTCAGTGTTCTCTGGAAGAGCTCTGTTTTGAGCAGCTTCTGGAAGACATGGTGGGAGCCAACTAGATGTTCACTGGGAGACTGTTCCAAACAATTGATGCAGCCACTGAAAAGCACTCCTGTTGAGCTTCTCCCCCCCCCCCAAAAAAAGGGGGGCAAGTGGATCAAACTGGCTGGGCTGATTCCAGAGGAGAATGTGGTTCTGCAGAGAACTGGATGCTGAACTACGAGGGCTTTGTAGGTTGGCAATAGAACTTTAAATTGCACCCCCTCCTTTCTCTGGGGATTTTCTTTATCCAAATGTCATGCAATGATGGGGGCTTTAACTTGCCCAGTCTTCAGCATTATCACTGGGGGTATATTCTTCATGGAATTCAAGAGATCAAATTCAAACCATTTGGGGCACAGTGAGAAAGCTGTTAATGTCGCTTCTCTGATATCTTGGTTGAGGATAGATTTTTCTTTTCCCAGTCAAAATTCTGTTACATTTCCAGCATTTAAGACTGCAAGGCATATTTGGGACAGGTATAATTTGGACTCTTGTTCCAATGATAACTAATCTGGAGTAATTCCAATCTAAACATTGCAGGTGTGTGTGTTTTATTTTGGAGTTTGTCGACTAATAAGGGTATTAGCACTTTAGACTAGCTTGTTGCCAGTCAAACTTTTTAAGCACTAGAGATATTGCAAGAGAAGTTTGGATGTGCTAAGACTTTGGAGTGGCAGTGTAGTCAATTAAAACATATTTTAATTGTACAGTTTAGTCCAGATGCATTAGCATTGTCTAAAATTATTGAATTGCTGCTAGCATTGAAATGTGTTCTGGATTATGCCAAATCTCCTGTATTTTTTATAGACAGTTAAAGATGTGGATATTGTTTTTTTACAAGGACTTTGGAATAAAGAGTTGGAATAACTGATAGGAACAAACTAAGGGTTCAGAGTTTTAAAGAATGTTAAGTATGTATCTGAATGATTTTAAAATTAGACTTAATTTTAACAGTAACATCTTTTTTATGTTTATTGGACACCTTAGAGAATGCTTAGAAAAAGCTGGCGGTTAGTTTTGTTAGCCAGAAACTTTAAGTGATGGAGGATATACGTTCATGCAGTCTCTGGGCAAGTCCGTTATTAACCTGTTTGTTCCAATACCACAAGTTTGTTAATACAGTTTTGGAAAGAGTAAGAAAATTGAAAAGTGTTAATCTGATGTTGAAGAATATATTGGAAATGTGGATATGAAGAACTTTGGATTTATTGAGCATGTAGAGTAGCAAAGATAATTATTTTGCTGCAGTGGAAATATGGCCTTGCCCCAGACTTACAACCTTGGGCTGATGATTCGTGTTCCGTTTCCACTCATGAACTGACGTTCTACCTACATAATGGAAAAGACTCATCAGTGGCATTCAGTGAGGTCAGGGTTTAATGCTGTGTTTAAAAACTGAGCTGTTATGTGTTTTTTCTCTTTCTCTCTCCCTTTCTTTATTGTTTTCTCCCCCCACCCATCTGTTTTCTCTTTCCCTTTTTTATATCTTTTTTTTCCCCTTGTACTTCTGTATGTAAACCAAGTACATAAATAAGCCTCAGACTTGTATAGACTGGGGTTGGTGAACATGGTAAAGATAAGGAGATAGATACCATTTAGGTTATGAGTAGACAAGCTGTCCATAGCTCTTGATTATTTCAAACCCTGCTCTTCTAGGTCTTCCGTTGTGTAGATTGAAAATTCTGAGCAAAGCAGACCAGGATTCTAAATTCCTCTTAAGGTGGCTGGGAAGTTCAGCTAAAATGCATTTAAAATGACCTTTGCACTTACCTGTTGTCTGAACCAGTGGGACTGTCTGTGGTCCTCTTTTTCACTTTACCTGACAGTCACACGTTAGCATACAGTGACTTTATTATAGTTTTAATGTGCAGTTTTATCTTTCAAACCTGGATGCTCTTCAGACAGTCTAGTAAGATCTGTAAGGATTGTTTACTAGGTGGTTTGTTTATTTATTTATTTCAGTGCTTTGTTCAGTCTTAAATTATTCAGTATATCAGGGCTTGTATTGTTTCCCAAGAGAGACTATTAGAGTCTAATAGCTCTCAGCGTTAAAAAGGATTTTGTGAAAGCTGGCTTAGCTTTTTCCAGATTAAATTTATTACTTGCAGCTCCTACTCATTCTGTTTGTGGACTTCGCTAAATTACTTAAAAGTAAAGAATTCTCTTCATCTTTCAAAAACCTCCTTCATTAGTTGCAAGTAAAACAGCACTGGAATACAGATCGTGGGACTGAACACTTTCTAGCTTGATGCCATAACGAACGAAGGAACGAAAGGAGAAAAAAGCTAAAAAACTAATATGGGCAGAGACTTTATATCTTTCCTTTTACCCATTTTGGTTACAAGCTTCAAACAGCCAGTTATGATGTCTTAACTTCCTCAATTTACATGTGCTAATCAACTAATCCCATTACTTTTGCTGTAAACTTTACAACAAAAAGATTATTGCCCATAAGTTGTGGTTGATTGACATTCCTAAGTAACTGGTAATCACAACTCATACCAAGAGCAAGCGCAAGAACTTTTGAAGAGATGTCAAATGTCTGTCTGTGGACCTGTTTGGAAAAAGAGATGCTAGTGTAGAGTATTTTTAATACACCCTAACTAGAACAATGAGAAAGGAGCACTTCAGAACAAACATAGACTACAGAAGTTAGGGAGGCCATCGTGGATATCAGGAGCTTCTGAAGTATTTGGGGGTGGGGAATGCAACCTTTCATGTCCTTAGCACCCCCATCTTTAGTCATATTGGTCTGTGCTTCTAGTTTTGCTTTGTTTTTCCCAACGTGCACCTACTTATCTTAATATGCAAGCAGTCTTTTATCTAATTCTGTGCTATATGCCTGAACATTTAATAAAATAAACACAGTGGCCCACCCAGGTGCAGTGGAAAATGGAAGGGATAAGATGAAATGGCAAAATAGAGGAAGTAGAGCAGAAATAGAACACTTGGTGAGTGAAAAGTATTATGATGAAAACTTACAACAAACTTACGGTATATGTTACAGGTTGGTGGTGCTTAGCAGTCTTGAAGAAAAACATCAAATAATGTCATGGATTTGTTGGGTAGGCAGTAAGAGTGGCATCTTTTGGTGTGACCAGGACAGGGGTGAATGAGAATGGAGGCTGCCTATCTTTATTAATGCTCGCACTAAAATACTTCGCTGACTGACAGCTCTAGTGGGCAACAGAATTCTGTTCAGCCTTCATTTCAAGAAAGTCTAGAAGATAGAATTGGTATTTTTTTCTTCAGATTTCCAAGGTATTTCCTGTTGTTTAGGCATTGGCAGTGGGTGGGTGGATGTTTGAGCAAATAAGCAGCTTTTAACTGAGTATCCAAAGTATACCTATTTCTAAGAGCATAGCAGGTTTTTGAGCAGTTCCACAAGGCTGTCACTTCTTTAGAAGATGTGGAACTCCATCTTGTTCCACCCCAGTTACAAGAGCAGCGGTGCAAAATCCAACATGTTTTTAAGTAAGAGACAGACCGTTGTAGATAGCCTGGTACTTGAGGGATTCTTTTCTTCCTCACCTCCACGATGGCTCCGAGTCAGTGGGACAGTCAGTATTAAAGGAGCAGCTTTGCGTTTTATGTTGGATTTGTTGAACGGCCATAGAATGAAATCGTGAGAGGATTGTTGGCAAAGTGCAGCCGAATTCAGAATTCTGTTTCTGACACCCTATAGGTACTCAGAAGTAAGCCATGGAGGTAACAGCCATAGTTTATTATTATTAACAACCTAAGTTCCGGTTTCTACTGTGGACTCACTACATTGGCTTTATTCTAGGTGACTGCTAATAAATCCAGTGACATGTGTTAGAGAGCATGCATTGCTTTTCAAGAGAGAGACATTTATGCCATCTCCCATAATTCCCATTATTTTTGTATTGCCATAGTTTAAGCAGGTATATGTGGTTGCTCCTGAGAGAGGGAGGGAGGGAGGGAGAGAGAGAGAGATCATATCACCTTGTGCATCCTCTATAGTTTGTAATGTTTGATACGGACTTAAGTTTTCCCTTCTCAGCCTACCATAATGGGCAGTTATGTGAAATATGCATTCTAATCTATTTCATTCTGAAAAAAAGTGACATAAGGTACACTTCCAATACCGTGTGAATTAGACCAAACAGTGAGTCACAGTTTATGTTCCCTGGGTGTGTTAGAATCAAAGCAAGTTATCTTACATCAAGTCAAATTAATGGTTCATTTAGCTCAGTTGTATCTTTGCCAGCTCAATATTGTTCGTACCGAAAAGATGGTAATTCTTCCAGGTTCGACAGGAATCTTTCCCCCTCAAACTGAGTTTTGCTATCCCTCATATACTATAAGAAATTAGTGGTGGTATCTTGGAATTATTTAGTTAAATGATAACATGGGAATCCATGTTGTATTTTTTTCCCAGATTCATTTCGGCTATATACTTACAGCACCCCCCACCCCAAAAATAGCAGTCTGTAAAACTATTCATGGTAATTGTGATTTCTTGCATTTCTCCATGCAATGATTTCATCCAACATTTTTCTGTCTCCCCAGGAAGAAGAGTTGAGGAAAAGCGGAGAAGCAAAGTACTTCCACCTAAACGATGATCTACATGTTTTAATTGAAGTATTCGCCCCACCAGCAGAAGCATATGCCAGAATGGGACATGCACTGGAAGAAATTAAGAAATTTCTCATTCCTGTAAGCACAGATCACAACCATTATTTTTATTTATTTATTTATTTATCCAATGAATGTGGCTGCCCATCTCACAAGCAACTCTGAGCAGCAAACAGAATTCAAATAAAATAAAAATAATTACGAACATTACAAAAATTAAAATACAAAGCAACTGAGAAACAACAAACCCAAATCACTAGCACAACAAAGTTTTTTTTTTAAATTTATTTTAAAGCATTTGGACATTTGGGTTTTTTCAAAATGCCGTAGCTTTGTTTTCTGATAAGAATGCTACAATATGTTTCTAGCATATCCATATATCCACGAGTTGTTCCTTGAAAGGATCTAGCATCTGTGTTGTGTGCTACACGTGACTGAAAATGCTAGTTTGATGCTTCCATATAGGAACAAGGTCTAAGTAACTATTAAAACAGTCACCTGTTTTCATTTTACATTAGCATTTCCTATCTATGATGTGGAAAGATACGTTTTAGTCCAGAACTGCAGGATTCATTGATGGTTGAAGATAATCAATGATAGTTATTAGTAGTCACAAATATCTGTACACAGAAACTGTGTACCTCCTAAAATGAGGAAATCAGCAGAGGGCAGAGACAGTTCTGCATGTATTATGTAGTCCCTGGATCCCATTAAGTTGAGAGTTTACAAACCATATCTCATATTGTTGTATTGGCCTTACTAATTCAGTGGTCTAAGTTAATGCAGTCATATGAGGTCCATGATTTTAACCAATGTGTTTAGTTTCTAATGTATTTTTGTTATGGTTGTTCAAAAGTTGCATGTACTCTGTTGCCTTGATATCATTGCAGATGATTTAGACAGCTTCCCCGAACCTGCTACTGACAAGTAGATTTGGCTATTAGACACTGGCCTGACCATTTTATTGGCCACTTTAGGCAGGCAGTTCTCTCCTAATACCTGCACAGAAATTTATGCAATTAATGAGTATGTAGCAGCAGGCAATCCAGTTGAGTGTGCTATGTTCGTGTTTTTGATTATTAGGACAAATGCTTCTTTCTGCACTTCCCACTGCTGATAAATTAAAAAAAAAAAATTCAAAACACCATAAAAATACAAAACATTAAAATGATAGAAAGCAGCCTACAGAATAGAAGCATTAAAATACTTAAAAATTAAAATATTTTAATGGTCTAGCACAAAAGCTTTGCGGAATGATGCAAAAAGAGGGGAGAATACCAAATGAGATTGCATTTTATATTTATCTCAAGATTGAAATATTTACATATACAGATGACCCTTGATTAGACTCCAGTTTACTATGGATTCAGTAGAAAAAATATGGATTCGGACATTCCCCTAAAATAATGGATTACACTCAATTATATTCATACTAGTTTAAATTATTTGCTTAACTTTAGATTAATTCTGCCAATTTATGTCATTGACATAAATTATACAGATGATGTACATTCAGACTGAATTTAATGGACACCTCCTACCCAGGAATAATATGTTAAATTGAGTTTTACTGTATGTTACAAACTATTTGACATGCACTCTACCATATATACTCACGAATAAGCCAAGAATTTTAGGTGTCAAAATACACCCCCAAAATCGGGTTCGGCTTACCTGCAGACGGGCTTGTCCGTGAGTATACATGGTAATACTTTTTAAAATTACCCATATAGTCTGTATATACTTGTGTATAAGCCCATCCGCAGATAAGCTGACCCTCTACAGGTAGTCCTCGACTTACGACTATTCATTCAGTGACTGTTTGAAGTTACAAACATGCTGAAAAAGGTGATGTATGACCAATGCCCGAAGTTACGGCCACTGCAGCGCCTCTGGGGTCACGTGATCAAAATTCGGGTGCTTGGCAGCTTGCCTGCACTTATGATCACAGGGGCACTTCAACTCCCCCCACCTGTCTACGTTGCCCCCTCATCTATGCCCTTTTGCCTCTCTGCTGCCCTGTGCTTCACCACTGCAGCTGATCTTCACTGTCTTACTCTGCTTCTGACAAGGTGTGCCTGGCCTGGCTGCAAGGCTGGGCTGGGGCTGGGCATTAGCTGCGAAATTAAAACAAAACAAAAAGCCAAAAGCAGCCCCTGAGCAGCAGTGTGCCAAAACGCCTGTTTGTGCCATATTCCTGGGTTGGGTCTGGGCTAGGGCTATGGCTTTTTTTCCCCGCAGCAGGAAGCAAAAGCCCACTTTAGCCCAGCCCCACCTAGGAGTGTGGTGCAAAGGGGCATTTCGGTGTGCTGTGGCTCAGGCTGCTTTGGGCTTTTTTTTTTTTTTTTTAATTTCACATCGGAAGCTCAGCCCCAGCTCGGCCCA